ATCGCTTTGTTGTTCGAGTTATGTCATTAATTGTTGCGGCACAATGTAGCACAAATGGAGCATAATTCAGCACAAATATTATTTTTATTTTTTTACAAAATGGCGGTGCTAACTTCACGCACATCAATGATTGATATAATTAAAAAATTTGCTATGTTTAAAAAATCTGCCATTTGAAATAATTGTCGATTAAATTACCCTTATGGAAAAAACTCTTAAAATTTCAGTGTTTATATTTAAATTTGAGTGTAAACCCTAAATTTTGGGAGTTTACTCTGAAATTTGTGTGTTTACACTTAAATTTGGGTGTTTACACTCAAACATTGAGTATATACTCTCAAAGATCGAGCGTTCACAACGTTCATACTCAAGTTTGAGTTTACACCATCGACATCTAGAATGGACCGCTGATGGCAATGGTGGGGGTGATGATGACTGAAGCCTGATTGTTTGTTGTTAATCCAACAGTAGTTAAAAACAACAGTAAACAGAGAAAGAACGATCTTATTATTCCTGCCTCTCACTCTAATCATCTTTCTACCCCCACCATTGTCATCAGCGGTCCTTTCTAGATGTCGATGGTTTACACACTCATCTAAAGGTTATCCTCAACACTTGGGTATGACACCCTTACGGAAAAAACTGTTAAAAGTTGAATGTTTACACTTTAAAAAACACTGAAAAAATACACTCAAGGTAACACTCAATTAATGATTATTTTGGACGCTCAACTTGAGTATAAAGCCAGCAGCACACGATGCTTGTTTTCTTACTGGATTGCTAGCTGGATTAGATTCTTGCCATGGTATTGGCTGCGATGCTGACAGTGCCAGCATCGCAGCCAATACGGTGGCAAGAATCTAATCCAGCTAACAATCCAACAAGAAAACAAGCATCGTGTGCCGCCGGCTTAACTCTCAACTTGAGTGTTATTGATGACTTGAATGTTGAGTGTTAATCTCAACTTAATAGTTAATTTAAGTGTCAGGGTGAAATCACACGGTGCGGAAAATGATTACGGAACAAAGAATGCGTCATTCAGCGGACTCAGCAGTTGAGTGAGCACTCGCTGTTATTGGTATATTCTTCTAGATCTAAAATTCTGATTGAATGAGCTAAAAGAATAAACCAATAACAGCGAGCATGGTACTCGCACTCAACTGAATGCGCCCATTGAAATAATCAATTAGCGTTATTCGGAATGACGCAGAATAAAGCTGATTGGTTGCTTTTGTGACATATTTTCTTTTCCGCATCGTGTGATTTCACCTTTAGACCCTACGTACAATGGAGGAAGTATTATTATACGAATAGAAATAAATATTAAAATTTCAAAACAAATAAAAATTTCAGAAAAACAAATAAAAATTTTAAAACAAATTAAAATTTCAGAACAAATATTAAATTGTAAACGCCATTATTTTTAAGTACTCAAATATTTGCGGGTGTCTACATTCAATATTTTGGCATTTATCTTAATCATAGAAATTAAAACTCAAATAATTGTTAAGTTTATATACTCAATTTTGAAGACACTCAAAGGTTTAGGATTTACGCTCATTTATTGCGTGTCATACCCAAGT